CACATACATTCTCCTGTCTATTGATGGGGAGCGCCACCTATTGGAAACTGGGTCCAGCGTCCCATGAACATCGTCAATGAAGCACCAATCGAGACCGCACACGCACTCTCTTCGAGTTATATATAGCGAAAATGACAAAACATACATATAGCATAATCACTACCTTACCCTTCCCGAACCACATAAACAAACGAACTACGGGCTGCGCACCCGTGCCCTCACGGTAAGTCAATTCGAAGCTAGAAGGTTGCGCTACTCTGTTTTGTCCTTTAGCGGGTTTTCGATTTCTGGAGCGGGAGTACAACCAGTGTCGAGAGGTATGTGACGCTCTAACCTCACACCCTCCATAACTTTCCTGTAGAAGTAATTGATTTACCGTGAGGGCACGGGTGCGCAGCCCGTAGTTAGTTTGTTGATGCGGTTGGGGAAGGACGAGGTAGTGATTATGGTGTGCGTATGTTTTGCTATGTTTGCGGTACACAACTCCAAGAGTGTGGGGGGGGGGGGTTCCGACTGGTGCTCTATTAACGATGTTCATGGGACACTGGACCCAGTTTCCAGCAGGTGGCGCTCTCCACCACTACACAACAGAATGTGTGTGTGTGTATGCGTGTGTGTGTGTGTGTGTGTGTGTGTAAGAGAGAGAGAGAGAGAGAGAGAGAGAGAGAGAGAGAGAGAAAGAGAGAGAGAGCCCTGCAGCATGCACCATGTCAATGCCAAGGAGCACAAGGGCAGGCACTGACCTCCAAAAAAAAAAAAAAATGTAGTATGCGATTGAAAAACAAGAGTTTTTCCTTTTTGAAATTCGAGTAGAAAGGGTGCATGTTGTATTTGAACACAACACGCACGTGTTCTATCCGAACTGCTCTTCTATTTAAGAAAAGTGGACCTACACCATTTCGTTTTCGGAATGTTCGAAACTTAAGGACTGGCCTCCTCGGCCTCCTACGGGCAGTTACTGGTCCTTCACATGCCCCCCCTTTGCTAAGCCCCGAAACCTCAAAATGCCCACCCTCCCGAACGACCACCGACGTTGAAATTTCAATGACGTTGAAATGTCTCAGGGGGGGGAAATGCAATGCTGACGGGTTGCGAACTAAAATGCGAAAAAGGTACTGGAAAGCGGCAAAATGGGGTGCGCCAAGGATTTTTGGAACATTGAGTGTGGAGACCCAAATAAAACTGAACTGAAATCTCTCATGTGGTCCCAAACGTAGAGGGGCACGGGTGCGCAAGCCGTAGTTTGTTTGTTGATGTGGTTGGGGAAGGGTAAGGTAGTAATTATGTTTACAAGCGGTTATTGGGTAGCTGAAAATTCATGAATGAAAATTCTGAAGTGAGAATTTTGGGCAGTCTGAAAATCCTGAATGGTCCTGAAGTGGTGAAAGGTCCGAAGACCCTGAAAACCACTTGTTTAGGCAGGCTGCATCCTGAAGTGGTGAAGGGTGTCCTGAAGTGGTCAAGTGAGAGTTTTGGGCAGCCTGAAAATCCTGGATGGTCCTGAAGTGGTGAAAGCTCCGAGGACCATGAAAACCACCCTTCACCACTTGAGGATGCAGCCTGCCTAAATAGGTGGTTTTCAGGGTCTTCGGAGCTTTCACCACTTCATGACCATTCAGGATTTTCAAACATGAATGATCCTGAAGTGGTGAAAGGTCTGAAGACCCTGAAAACCACCTGTTTAGGCAGGCTACATCCTGAAGTGGTGAAGGTTGTCCTGAAGTGGTGATAAAAAATACGACTGTTGTTAACCTTCTCTCATTATGTTGTGTTTATCTTTCTCATGTTCGCTATAGACAACTTCAAGAGTGTGTGGGAGGGGGGAGTCCCGACTGGTGCTTTATTCATGATGTTCATAGGAAGTTCGACCCGGTTTCCAACAGGTGTTACTCCCCGCCAATAGAGGGATGCTCATATCACCTCCTCTGGTTGGCTGAAGCGGAACTTTTTTTTTTGGGGGGGGGGAAGTGTGTGTGTGCGTGTGTGCACGTGTATATGTGAGAGTAGGTGAGTGAGCGTGTCTGTGTATGTATGTGTATATATTGTCATAGTCGCTATACACTTGAAAAAGACATGATTGTGTCAGACTGTTTCGTCAGACTTTTGTGTGTGTGTGAGTGTGTGTGCTTGGGAGAGCGAGAGAGAGCCCTGCAACATGTAGCATGTTAGTAGCGGTGAGCACAAGGGCAGGCGCTAACCTCGGGAAAAAAAAAAAAAAGATAACATTCAATTTTAAAATTCGAATAGAAAACGTAGATGAATAATGAGTCGCCCAATTAGAGGTATACAATGCAACCTTGACGGGCTGCCAATAGCAGGAAAAGCAGGAAAGAGTCCCTTCCAATGACCACCTAATCCAAAGAGTATCTTTGAACTTCGTCGTGCGGAGCGAGACACATTTTTCCGAGTCAAAAGTGGGGTGGAACCCACATAGGATTTCAATTAAGAACGAGAGATTGATGGTGTTCCTCACAAAGCTCAGATTATGCCCACCCTCCCGAACGACCACCGACGTTGAAATTTCAATGACGTTGAAATGTCTAAGGGGGGGGGAAATCCAACCCTGACGGGCTGCGAACTAAAATGTGAAAAAGGTCCAGGAAAACAGCAAAATGTGGTGCGCCAAGGATTTTTGGAACATTGAGTATGGAGACCCGAATAGAACGGAACTGAAATCTCCCATGTGGTCCCAGACATAGCGGGGCACGGGTGCACAACCCGTTGTTTGTTTGTTGATGTGGTTGGGGAAGGGTAAGGTAGTAATTATGTTCACAAGCGGTTATTGGGTAGCTGAAAATTTATGAACGAAAATTCTGAAGTGAGAGTTTTGGGCAGTCTGAAAATCCTGAATGGTCCTGAAGTGGTGAAAGGTCCGAAGACCCTGAAAACCACTTGTTTAGGCAGGCTGCAT